AAAAAATGAATGTAATATTACAAGCCTATAATCGATGCTACAATGGTTGTTGAGTGTCGGGAATGTTCGAACAAAATTGAGTCATCGAATACCCACTTTTTCATAAAATAAATCATTTATAGGTACGTCAATGTGTTCACAATTGCGATTGATTTGGTCCGGTTTTAATGGGGCTGAATATGATTTTTCATAACATCGAACTCCATTAGTTAAACTGTCTATAAATGAACATTTTTTCTAAATTCCTTTGTTTTTGTTGAATTTGTTTATAATATAACCTTTAGCTGCATATTGTGCTTTATTGGTATTATCATGTGTCATTAATTGTCCAAATTCAACAGCAGCAAAATTATTAATCAAAGTTTTAAATTCTTGATCCGTTTCGATATTCGATTGTGTGGCCACTGACAGAGAATTGCTGACAACTCGTGAACTTGGTAGATCTTTGTTCGATTTCGATTGATATTTTCAATACTATTAACTGATCGCAAATAATTCGTTGACTTTGACTTTATAGCACTTGAATTAGCACTTTTTGTAGCATTCATAGTATGCCACATTATACCATTACGGGTTTGATTCGCCTCTCTGTTAAACGTTGAAACATGTCATAAGGAAACAGAGTTAAAAGACGAGAATTTTTTTCCACTTATATTTTACCAAAATCGCACTCTCAGAAGAAGCGTAGAATATTTAATTTGAAATTAAAATAAACATGAATGGAGAAAAAAGCCAAGCCAATAAAAGAGTAAATAAAAAAAGTGCAATGTGTATATACGTTACATGAACTTTTGATATTTTATTTACCGTTCAATGTTGTTTTTTCATGTCTCGTCTTATTTTTATCACAATACACATAATTTATTTCCAGTTTAGTCGCGATTATGTGATGCTAAAACTTTATAAAGTGAATTCTCGTTTATATTTCTTTAGTTTCGAACATTATTTCGGTAGAGAAATAAGAAATGCAGAGAGCCAGTCGTTTAATTTTGTTTGTTGCATCATTCGCATTTACATATGCAGTGCGCGAGCAAGGAAAAGAGTTTTGCTTTATGAAAGAAGATCATCAAAGCAAACAATTTAATTTTGAGTAAATCAATTGTCGTATCGTTGTTTATAAAAAAATGATTTTATTTTATTTTTTAGATATGACCTTGATCACGGAGAAAAGTTTCATGGCAAAACGACGTTTTTGTTTGAAAACAACGATTCAAGCGCACAAATGTCGCTATTTTATCATTTATTGTTAGATGCCACTGGTGATATCCACTGGGTAGCTTTTAGTGAAAATGATTTAAACTCCACCGTACAATTTTCGAAGACTGTTTTTCCAGGTAACAAGACAATTCCATAATTTAGTTCAGAATTATGTGTGCATGAAGTATATTTTTCATTCATTAGTCATGCGAACAGATGATGGCATTGAATTTCAAAATGATTATGTCAGATTTTTGGTCACAATTGGTGAAACTTCTTTAAAAATATATCCGTATATAACAGAGTGAGCTTGATCATTAAGAAAAGTATCTTTCTTGAAAATTTATAATAGAGCCCATAAATAATCATTTGTAGATGGGATCTCCAGAATATTTGTTTCAAAAAAATCAACGACAGTCATAGCATATTTCGATATGAGTAAGTGTCAATTTTTATTTTCGGAAGTAATTTGATACTTTTGATTTTTTTCATGTTTCATTCATTTCTTTCTTGTTATATTCAAAAAGGATAAGCTCGTTGAACAACAGACGAATCTATATCGGAGAAACATTTAATGAAGAGGGAGATGGTCTGCTCTCTAAACGAATTCATATATCTGATCCAGGGCAAAGTGATTCCATATTTCGCGTGGATTTTAAACAAGATGAATTCAATTCGCACACCACGTTTTGTAGAGCCATTTCAGAGATTATTTCACGTATGTTTCTTTTTATTTATTCAAATACTGACAAGCACATGCATCATTATTGAAAACATTTTTAAATCTTCTTTTGCATAATTTACAGAATATTTTGTACTTGGAGCCGGTCAAGTAAACGGTAAATATTTTCAGCCAATTTGATCGGAATTGAAATAGATATAAATTAACCTTCCAATTTATGTACAGGTATCGATCCGAATGCATTGAAATCTTTGGTCGGTTGAACAATATACAAAGCTGCTCACTGCTTATATTTTGAAGATTATACATTATTATTATTTCATACAGTCTGAGTTATACAAATAAAATATTCTTATATTAAACATTGAATTGCTAACGTGTTTAAGTTAAACGTACTAAGAATTCTTGATAAAGGAAGATAATTCTTATAATAAAAAAATATAACCTGTCACACCGAATATGTGCGTAAAAAAAAAAAGTTTTATTTAAAAAAATGCAATTTTTACAAATGTAGTGAAAAATACATGTTACATGATTCAATTCAAATATTTATTTAAAAAAAAATGTTTAATCCTGCTAGTAATTCCAAAATTTGAAGTAGTTGCCGAGTTGTATATCAATCATTTGTATATGACAACTTCATTCATTTACTCCGATTTTACGTATAAAATGTTACAAACTATGCTTCTCTACTGTCCGAAATCCTTGGGTTTGAATTTTAATATAAATTCCAATTCCTATCCTCATGTCGATATTAAATTGTTATCGATAATCAAATTCCAGAAGTCGGTCCATTCATATTACCAATTGATAGGTGATTCCGAACGTATTTCAATTTCCATCGATCCTGATTTTCCTTATTATTCCATCCAGTTTTTTCACCCAAGCGAACCTCGCTTCATCCTTCAACCATGTTATCCAACTATGGTTGCCTTCCCTTCACAAAACATAATTCTGTTTTCTTGTTCTAATTACATCACGTTTACCATAATTTTATTATCCGATTTCCGTTGATGTAGATAAATCCGACTCCTTCTAAATTTCCGTCAATCTACTTATCGAAAAAGAAATCTTATTCTTGCTTTTTGTAACTGGTTTTTGCCATCCTTCTTGAATCCTTGCTGAACGAATTACTAATCTCGTGAATAAAGTGGTAAAGGTGAAATTAAATTATAAATTTTCATTTTATCCCAAAATTCATGTAATTTCTACTGTTTCTTTCTTAATTTTACTCGATCCATTCCCTGAATGCTAGCACATGTAACATCAAAATTACGAAAGAAATGTGAATTTAATTGATTTAACCATAGGACTTCGATATAAATGTGAATTTGATTGATTTATCACCCCAATTTATTATTTTTGGTTTCTACTATGTAGATTGCTCTTATTTTGTCTATTCTTATTCGTTGGCCCTATCGAACAGTTGACAGCCATTTCCTTATTTCTGACAACATTTTTGGGGGGCCAAATCCCCATTTTTATCAGCCAATTTCCCATTCATATACAATACACCAAAACCATTTTACCTTAAATAAATTATTTTTGCATTTTCACTTTTATACGAATTTTTTATAATCAAATGCACGATTGCTTTTTTATATTATTTTTATACGGTGAGAATAAAACTTTTGAAAACAGTAAAAAAAATTTGACGTTAACTAATGCTATTTTGATAATTGCTAATTAGTCAAGCCAGTAATACATAATAACTGATAATCTAGCTGACTATAACTAATTAGTTAAACATGTTAGTTAGAAATAATTGTTTATAATCATAATCAGTTAGCAAAATTATCAATTTGCCGGAGGGTGATATTTTTAAAACAATTATATATTCTGAAGTATAGATATTAAATTTCACGTTGCGTTTACTATAGTCCGTATACTAAAGTCATTAAAATAAATTTTGACAGTAGTAAATAAAACCCTCTTCTCATTCTCTTAAAATGTTTATTCTATTGACCGAACATTTCTCTCTTTTTGATATGATTAAAGTTATCATCCGTTGTTGTGTTTCGACTGTAGCATAATGGTAAGGTCAGTGGCACATGCTAAAATTCAATATTGAATGGATAATATTTGGCATTTTTGATTAATTCAAGTTGAACTAGTCTGTT